TTTTCACATTTTCAAACACTATTGTTATATATCTATCTCTAGGACAACTGAATTCTTTTAACATAGGATACGTTCCAGTTGTTGTTGGATCGCAGCTCCCATCATTCTTCACCATTAGCTATGCTGGCGAAGACTACCAGGAAATTTATTCTGTCAACATCTGGAGAGCTACACAACGCTCATTACTTGTTCCAAAAATCCTTTCTTATCTTTCAAGAAAAAATATTCTATCCAACACTTTTTCTCCTTCTTTAACATGCTCCATTAAGCCTTCAATGATCCGTGTATCACATTATTCATGCGCACTGATATTTTTCTGAAAGTGAAGCAGCATCAGGCTGTCTCTCAGAGGAATTATTGATCAAATCTAGTCTAGGTTTATGGACTTTTTCAGAAAAGAAAAAGATGGGATAGAATGAGAATCTCTTCTTTAGAGATAAGAAATTGCCTTGAAAATACAGTGAAACCACCTGTGCCCATTTTGCCATATGTTTTCTGATGGAAATGAAAGAAAAGGTATCACACAGATTTATCCCTGGAGTTAAAATGCTTCCCAGTCTTGTGGTGAACTCTTGTATAACCACAAATGCTGAAAAATCCCCCCCCCCCCCCCGTCTTTCCATTTGCATAACTTTATTCTCAATGCAGTGACATGAATATATAGTAAAGGAAATAAGACAGATATGGGTCAGCCCATTCACAATTGTGTGACTGCACTGGACTCTCTAGAGCAGGCATGGGCAAACTTTCTAACTTGGGGGCCAAATGCTAGCACTCCCCACTGGGTGGACTGGCTGACCAGTGATGGAAGGATGGAAGGGAAGGAGGAAGGAAAGAGAGAAGGAAGGACAAAAGGGAGAAAGGGATGCATGGAAGGAGAAAGAGGGAGAGAGGGAGGCAGGGAGGAAAGAGGGAAGGAAGGAAATACAGAAGGGAAGGAAGGGAAGGATGGAAGGAAGGGATGGATGGAGAGAGAGAGAGAGAGATGGATGGATGGATGGATGGATGGATGGATGGATGGATGGATGGATGGATGGATGGATGGAGAAAGAGGGAGGGAAGGAAGGAGTAAGGAAAGAGAGAGAGGGATAAAAGGATGGAAGAGAAGGGAGGGAAGGGAGGGAGGGAAGGAGGAAGGAAAGGGAGAAGGGAGGAAACACAAAAAGCAAGCAAGAGAGGAAGGAAGGAAGGAAAAAGAGGGAGGGAAGGGAGGGGAGGAGAAAGGAAAGAGAGGAGGGAGGAAAGACAAAAGGGAGCGAAGGATGGAAGGGCAAAAAGGTGGAAGGCAAGGAGGAAGGAAAGAGAGAAGGAAGGAAGGATGAAAGCATGGAAGGGAATGGAGGGAGGGAGGGAGAAAGAGGAAGGGCGGGAAGAAAGAGAGAAGGAAGGAACGACAAAAAGGAAGGAAGAGGAAGGGAAGGAATAAGGATAGAGAGAAGGAAGGATGAAAGGGGGAAGGGAAAGAGGGGGGGAAGGAGGAAGGAAAGAGAAAAGGACGGAAGGATAGGATGGTGGGAGAGAGGCGGGCCTGAGAAAACAGCCCAAGTGGTTATATCCAGCCCCCGGGCCTGGGTTTGCCCATACCTGCTCTAGAATTAATGGAGAATCTTACCAGCCTCTGCTAATGTTGCTAATTTCATCGGAACTGCACCATCCTATGCACCGTTGCCAGTTGGAAAAATGGAGAATTTCCTTCCCTTATATAAAAGAAAATATCTCCATGTCCTCTCAGTGTTACAGTATATCCAATACTGTGGATTTGGGGCAGTGAATTTTTTTGGAGGTGAGAAGGGGGTGGCAGTGAATATTTACTTACTTAGAACATTTGTATCCCATCCTATTCTCAACCTCCGAAGAGGGACTCAGGGCGAATACAGCCTGTAAGGGCTATATGTCATCCATGAGCCATGTATTACCCACCGCCAGAATGAATAGCTTTGATTTGGCAATAAACTTGACAATAGATTCAGACTGTTATTTTATCAAGGCTAGGCCAGAAGTCTTCCATGCTTGGCAAGATCATATTTTCATTTCAAAACACAATCCTTGTACCTCACAGAGGATATTCAGAAGATTTGGAGGATGAATATGTTTATGCATTTCTTTATCTCTGCTCTTCTCTATAAAACAGACTTAAAGCAGCTTATGCAAATGAAAATGAAAATACAATAAAGCAGATCCAAGTTACAATCAAAGATGTCTAAATTATAACACTACACTTTTAACAGTTAATCCGAAAAGAGCATTCATGTTTATTTCTTTTTCATGCTGGCATTTGCCCACAATTTACATAACTTTAAAATAGACAATGAAGACATTTAAATAGTTCAAGATTTTTTTCCCCATGCTTTGGCTTCATCATTCATCAGGATAGAGGTGCAGTCAAGGCATAAGAATAAGGCTGGAATTGGAAGGGCAGCTAGGAAGAAAATAGGCAAGATCCTGAAGTGTCAAGATATTGAATACTGAAGTTAAGTTTGCCCATGCCATCTTATTTCCTATGTATGGTATGGTTCCATCCTCCAGGAAATAAAGCCCGGCTGCTCACTGGAAGGAAGGATACTAGAGACCAAGTTGAAGTACTTTGGCCACATCATGAGGAGACAGCAAAGCCTAGATAAGACAATTATGCTGGGGAAAGTGGAAGGCAAAAGGAAGAGGGGTCGACCAAGGGCAAGATGGATGGATGGCATCCTTGAAGTGACTGGACTGACCTTGAAGGAGCTGGGGGTGGTGACGGCCAATAGGGAGCTCTGGCGTGGGCTGGTCCATGAGGTCACGAAGAGTCGGAAACGACTGAACGAATGAACAACAACAACATGGTTGTGAAAAGCTGGCCAGTGAAGAAACCTGATCAGAAGAAAATCAACATTGAAATATGGAGCTGGAGAAGAGTTTTACCGATACCATTGACTGCTACGAAAACAAATAAATGTGACCGAAAGCAAATCAAGCCCAAACTCTCCCTAAATTCCAAATTAACTAAACTGAGACTGTTTTACTTTGGACATATAAGAGAAGACATGGCTCACTAGAAAAGACAATAATACTATGTAACAAAATTTGAAAAAAAAAATGTTCCTAGTTTGAAAGTGTTATTTAATTGTGACATACTGTCGGATGCTCATGGGTGTGTAAATTCTGCATGAAGAGGAGAGCAACCACAAGTGTAATGTGTGATAAGGAAATCCCAATCTGCCTAAAATCGAAAATCTACGGGACAGCGGTGAGACCGGTCGCTCTAGACACCGAGTGCTGGCTGACCACAAAGGCCATCGAGCACACTCACAACACTATGGAAATGTGGATGCTCAAGTGGCCAATGGGTGCTACCCTGAAGGACAAGGATTCCAAACCATACAGGGCACTCCATCTTCTGAGTTTCTCTGATCACTGAGAAGATGAAGAAACCCCATCTGAGATGGTTTGGACATGTGCAACTAAGTGATAAGGGTTCTGTCACTAAAACTGTGCTGATTATGGAAGTTGCAGAAACCAGGCCAGGTGGCAGGCCTAAACCACCCTGGCTCAACTGTTTGAAACATAACGTGGCTGAAGCGAGACTCACAATGAGAGATGTGACTGATAGGAACAAGTGGGGGGGGGGGGGGACAAACAGACACTGAGAATTTGTGGGACAAATGCTAAGAAGATTTCCTGTTTAATTGTGCAGTACTTCCTTTGAAAGTAGTTCTTATACTCCAGACACTTCGTGTTTCCTTCCTTCTCTCTTTTCTTTATCCTCCCCTACTTTCCTTCTCTTCCTTTCTTCCTCACTTCTCTTTTTTGTTCCTCCTTCCCTTCCTTCCTTCCCTCCCTCTCTCCTTACATCCTTCCTTCTTGTCCTTCCTTCTGTCTTTTCTCCCTCCCTCTCTCCCTCTTTTCTTCCCTTCCTTTCTTCCTACTTTCTTTCCCCTCCCTCTTTCTCCTTCCATCCTTCCCTTCTTGTTTTCTTCCTCCCTCCTCTTTCCTCTCTCCCTCTCTTTCTTCCTTCCCTTTTTTCTTTCCTTTCTTTCTCTCTTTATCCTTCTCTCCCTTCCATCTTTCTTTCCTCTTTCTTCTTTTCCCTTCTTTCCTCCTTTCCCTTTCTCCTCCTTCTCTTTCTTCCATCCCTTTTCCCTCCCTCCTTCTCTCTCTCACTCCTTCTCCTGCCATCCCTTCCTTCTCTTTTTCCTTCCCCCTTCCCTTCCTTCCCTCCATCCTTTAATCCTTCCTTCCCTTTTGTGTTTTTTCCTTCCCTCTTCCCTCCCTCTTTCCATCTCTCCCCTTCTCCTTCCTTCCTTCCCTTCCATCCTTGCGTTCTCCCTTCCTTCTCTTTTTCCTTCCTCCTTCTTTTCCATGCTTTCATCCTTCTTTCCTCCCCTCTTTCCTCCCTCCTTCCCCCTCTCTCTCCCTCTTTCTCCTTCCATCCTTTTCTTCTTCCCTTTCGTCCTTCCTTCTTTCTCTCTTTCATTCCTCCTTCCCTTTCATCCTTCATTCTCTCTTTCCTCCCTCCTTCCCTCTCCCCCTTTTTCTTCCATCCTTCTCTTCCTTTTCTTTTTCCTTCCTCCTTCCATTCCTTCCATCCTTTAATCCTTCCTTCCCTTTTGTCTTTCCTTCCTTCCTTCCCTTCTTCCCTCCCTCTTTCATCTCTCCCTCTTTTTCCTTCCTCCTTCCTTCCTTCCTTCCTTCCTTTCCTTCCTTCCTTCCTTCCTTCCTTCCTTCCTCCTTCCTTCTCTCTTTCCTTCCTCCTTCCTCTTCCCCCTCTTCTCTCCCTCTTTCTCCTTCCTTCTCTTTTTCCTTCCTCCTTCCCTTCCTCCTAGCAGGGAGTGCTAGCATGCGTCCCCTAAGTTAGAAAGTTAGCCCATGCCTGGTATAGCATGATGCACCCAAAACAGCCCTTTTCCATCCTTGCCAGTGGCTAAGCAAAGGAAGGGGGCTGTGCTTCCAAACCGTGGGCGTGTTTTGTCAAAGGGACTACAATTCCCAGCGACCCCCGGAGGAGGGAGCTCTGTCCGGGCAGGGCGGAGTCAGAGGCGGGATCGGCTCGCCTTCTGCATGGCCGAAGCAGAACTAGTTGCAGCTGCCATTGCAAGGTCCACAGCCACCAACTGGGAGTCCCAATGGCCTCGCCCCTCAAAGTCTGCATCGTGGGCTCAGGAAACTGGTGAGGAAGGAGAAACCTTTGTTTTGTTGTTGTTTTTTGGGGAGGGATGGAAAGGGAGTCCTTTTCCACCCAGAGGGAGTGTCTCCTCGCCGAGTTGGGTGCATCTACACTGGAGAATAAATGCGGATTGATACCACTCTTGCTGTGGAATGCTGGGAGTTGCAGTTTGCTGAGGCACCAGCCCTCCTTTGGAAGGGAAGGCTTGTAAAAGAAATACTACCACTCCCATGACTCTGTTGCATTGAGACCTGGCAGGAAAGTGCACTAATTCTGCAGTGGAGACCCACCCACATAGGAAGGAGCCCAGTGTTTCCTTCCTTTTGCTTTCTTCCAACCCTTCTGTCAATCAATGTTTGTATTCCATGTCAACAAAGGCAGGGTCATTGCTATGTAATACAGTCTGAAACTGCACTATGTTGTCAGTGTATAGACCTGTGCAGTTTGCATTATATTGGTCTAGACCAGGCATGGGCAAACTTGGGCCTTTTGAGTGTTTTGGACTCCAACTCCCACCATTCCTAACAGCCTCAGGCCCCTTCCTTTCCCCCCCTCAGCGCTTAAGCGGCTGAGGGGGAAAAGGAAGGGGCCTGAGGCTGTTAGGAATGGTGGGAGTTGGAGTCCAAAACACCCGAAAGGCCCAAGTTTGCCCATGCCTAGTCTATACTGACCATATACTACAGTTTTGGGATAAATATTTCCAAACCGTGGATAGTTGAATTCCAAACCGTAGATAGTTGATCCGTATCCTGGATCCAGGATCCGCGGATACGAAGTGACATTTGTAAAGTGTCTGCTTGGGAAGAACAAGGCGAGCAGGAACATCAGCTCACCTTCCTTATCTAGTGGGAGACCAAAGTCTTAGCACGTCACCACTTCCTTATTGTTGAATTTGCAGCTTCCTGCTTCGCTTCCAGTTTTTCTGAATTGCACACAGTGCCTCAATGTTGTTTTAGAGGTGGGCCTCAATGTCTTGCTTTCAAGCTGGTTTAAAGGGAATGTCGCCATCGACAATAAGGTGCATACGACACTGTTACTGTATATCGGTTTGCTACTGCTTTCATTGTGCCAAGGAACCCCACCTTCCCACCGGAGCGGTTCCTATTGATCTACTCACATTTGTATGTTTTCGAATTGCTAGGTTGGCAGGAGCTAGGGCTAACAATGCTCCCTGGATTCGAACCACCGACCTTTTGGTTGGCAAGTGGTGCAGAGGGTTAAACCACTGATCTGCTGAACTTGCCGACTGAAATGTCAATGGTTTGAATCCAGGGAGTGCTGTTAGCCCTAGCTCCTGCCAACCTAGCAGTTCAAAAACATGCAAATGTGAGGTGCCACTCCTGTGGGAAGGTAATGGTGCATCATGCAGTCATGCTGGCCACATGAACTTGGAGGCGGTTTGAATCCAGAGACCGCAGTTAGTCCTAGCTCCTGCCAACCTAGAAGTTCAAAAACATGCAAATGTGAGTAGATCAATAGGTGCCGCTCCTGTGGGAAGGTAACAGCGCACCATGCAGTCATGCTGGCCACATGAACTTGGAGGCGGTTCGAATTCACGGAGTGCTGTTAGCCCTAGCTCCTGCCAACCTAGCAGTTCGAAAGCATGCAAATGTAAGTAGATCAATAGGTACTACACTGATGGGAAGGTAACAGCGCACCATGCAGTCATGCTGGCCACATGAACTTGGAGGCGGTTTGAATCCAGGAAGCACTGTTAGCCCTAGCTCCTGCCAAGCTAGCAGTTCAAAAACATGCAAATGTGAGTAGATCAATAGGTACCACTCCGGTGAGAAGGTAATAGCGCACCATGCACTCATGCTGGCCACATAAGCTTGAAGGCGGTTCGAATCCAGGAAGCACTGTTAGCCCTAGCTCCTGCCCACCTAGCAGTTCAAAAACATGCAAATGTGATTCGATCAATAGGTACTGCTCTGGCGAGAAGGTAATAGTGCACCATGCAGTCATGCCGGCCACATGACCATGGAGGCATTTAGGGACAACACCAGCTCTTCATCTTAGAAATGTGCACCACCCCCCAGAGTCAGACACAACTAGACTTAATGTCAAGGGGAAAACTTTACCTTTACCTTTTATAGAAGCCTGGGATTTGTAGCTTGGTGAGGGATATAGAAATGTTGGCATGAGAGACCTAACAAATGATTCAGAGGGTGTGCCTACACTGTAGAATGAATGCAGTTTGCCACCGCTTTCACTACCATGGCTCAACGCTATGGAATCTTAGGAGTTGCGGTTTTAGTTTTCTCCACCAGATAATATTGGTGCCTCACCAAACTACAAATCCCAGGATTCCATAGCATTGAGCCATGGCACGTACAGTGGTATCAAACGGTATTACTTCTGCAGCGTAGATGTGCCCTAAGTTTCTTGGTAAACTACAAATAATGAGATTCTCGAAAAGGAGACTGCAATAGTTAAAATAGTACGACACTGTTACGACTATGTGATATGCAGACACCACCTACGTTAGGAGCCTCCGGTGATGCAATGGGTTAAATTATTGTGCCAGCAGGACTGCTGACCAAAATGTTGAAGGTTCTAATCTGGGAAGCGGGGTGAGCTCCCGGTTTCTCGTGCAGGAACACGAGAGAAGCCTCCCACAGAATGGTAAAACATCCATGCATCCCCTGAGCAATATCCTTGCAGATGGTGAATTCTTTCACACCAGAAGCAACTTGCCATTTTTCAAGTCATTTCTGACACAGGAAAAAAAAACCTTACCTAAGTTTAAACAATTTGTATTCTTTGGGAGGGTGTGGCAACTTATCTTGTTGTCCCATTTGGGCATATTTGGGAAGGGTCACCACGATCAACATTAGCAAACACACAAATATAAAACGGAAAGTGGACTGTAATTCAGCATTATGCCTTAGTCTTATTTCAAAATCCGAAATTGTCCACATGGGTGGTTGGAATAGTAACAACATATGTTTCAAGCGTATGTAAACATTGCCTCATGCACAAAATTATTGAAAAATATTGTGTAAACTTGCCTTCAGGCGGTGACTATAAGATGCATTTGAAACATAAATCCATTTCATGTTTAGACCTGGATCTCATTTCCAAGATATCTCATTATGTATCTATATGCAACAACAGGTATTCCAAAATCCAAAACAATTCTGATTCCAAGGGATACTCAACCTGTGTTTAGGTTTGCCGTTAAGTTAGAAATGGCTTGAACGCACACATTAATAATAATCCGGAGTGTTAACAGGGTACTGTATACCCTTTCTTTCTTTCTTTCTTTCTTTCATCTATCTTGACAAGATAGTGTGGGGGTAAGATAATCTCAAAAGTAGTGATTGTCCCAAGGTCATCTCAGTGAAATTCATGACTCAGTCTGGGCCTCCCTGATCCTTGTGCTAACACTACTATGTTGCAATGGGCCCTGCACCTTTTACACAGTGTTGTGACTATCCTTTACAATAATCGGCTATTTGAACTCTCGATGTTTTTAGACTGCAGCTTCCATTATCTTTTATTACTTGCTCTGCTGGTTAACCTGGATGGGAACTTTAAGCCAAAATTGTATGGAGGACCACAGTTGTTTGAAATAGCAACCTTCTACAAACCTCCTATGCTAGTTATTTGTTATGTATATAATTCAGATTGCTTACTATATTGTATGGGCCCCATGGTGGTACAGTGGGTTAAACTGCTGAACTGCTGAACTTGCTGACCGAAAGGTTGGTGGTTCAGATTTGGGGAGCAGGGTGAGTTCCCGCTGTTAAACCCAGCTTCTGCCAACCTTAGACTTAATGTAATGGGAAACCTTTACTATATTGTATGAATATTTGATATGCAGTTTTCCCTTAACTCTATGTTGTTTGACGTTGTGGGAGGGACTGCAGACTATGTGACCAGATCTGGGACTATTCAGATTGATCTGGGACTACAGATTGAGACTCCATTTTAGAAATCAGTTTTGCATCAGAAGCAGTACAGTTTAGAAGTCAATGTCAGTATTCTGCAGTTTGTAGTCAGTCTGTATTGAGTCTGTGTTCAGTAATGTATTCGATTGAAGAGAGTGTTGGTCTGTATGCAACAAAGAAGAGACTGAAACAGAATGCTTCAGAAAACTTACTGTTTAAATTCTCAGCCAATAAGAAATGTATTCTGAATACATGATGTTTGTAAGTAAATAAACTTACTTTTAATGAAGACTATCTATTTTTGGTCTCTTGAGAGCATGATTTAAATGCAATATATTTTAGAGTAGGTTTTTTTTGGGGGGGAGGGGTGGCACTGAAATAACATTTTTGAAGATCTGCTATAGATTTTGTGCATCGGCATATCTTTGCACCTAACAGTTCAGAGAGATAACCAGGTATATCAATCTAACAACTGAGAAACCTAATTTGTCATGCATAAATACTAGTGGATATTTACCACTAAGGATACGATTCACTCAAACAAGTCTTTAACTCAGGGGAAAACCTTTACCTAGACATCATCATATTGCACTTTTAGTGTGCTACATGTCAGAGTGGGGATTTGAACCCAAGTCTTGCTGCATATACACGCCCATTGTGTTTTGCAGAAATACGTGTTACAACCTGGAATTAAAATAGATTTCATTATTTTACTGTTTGATTTACACAAGATACTTAGCACTGCAAAGATGCAAAATTGTTGTATTGTGTCACAAAAGTTAAGTACGTACAGAGAAACAGATGTGCTCATTGGTTGCGTTATTATCCAACCCCTTTGCTGTGACACATCTAAATGAATTCTGCTACAATCCACTCAAGTGGTAAGAATGCCAACTAAATCAATTTTTGTTCTAAGTTATAGGGCATCAACATTGACGTACATAATATAAGTTGACACCTTATATTAAAAACAAGAGACTCAACCTGTAAAAAATTACAGGTTGAATCACTTTCTCTCTTTGCCAGCGGACAGGAGCAAAAACAATATGCTGAAATCACATCCTTAGTACATTGTTTGGCACTTTATGAAGGTTTCCTTGTTTTTAATTT